ATATATATATATATATATATATATATATATATATATATATATATATATGTATGTGTATATATATGCAAAATTCTTATATAGAAAAAAGCACTAACAATAAGTAAAATTGCACTCTAAAGTCAAATATATTTTATTATAATGTAAAAAAAGGACTATTGAAATATTTAAAATTGATAATGTCACACCCATATAAATATAGAATTATAAAAGACATTATATCAAGATAGAGATATGATACAATTTCTTTCTTACTAACAGCAAAAATGCACTTGATATACAAGTTGAAGGGACTATCTTTCGTCAAATTATTTTTGATTTCAATAGTTTCTAACTGTCGCTCTTGATATACCATGAAAGAAGATTGCAATAAAAATAAAACGCCGCTTCATTCCAAATGCAGAACCAAAATAATTCTTTATGCGGCGAGAAATACTGCTGGAAAGGAAAATAAAGTAGAACGTTTCGGCGTTTCTCTCTGAATGCGATCTTTCGGCATAATTTTTGCGATTGTAATTTTCCAATTACATTGCTCGCGAAATTCCGTTTGCCAAGTAGCTTACCAACCTAACACGAGCGTACCGAGCGCTGCAATCTGATTTTTCCGTAAATTCCGCCCTCGAACGAAACGGTAAAGCGCGAGAGTTTTCCGCGCGTGCGGAGCACCGTCCTTATTATTTTAAGTTTCCCCCTCGGTTTTCAAGCAAACTACGTTCGTCTGTCCGTCCAATATTTGATAACGCAACAATTCCCGACTTCCGGACCGGCTCCGAGGGCAGAGGTGGTACCGTGGGCGCATCACTCGATACATAGGCTCGTCAGAAATACATCGCGACGTACCTCGAAGCGACTCGATATCGATTTCAGATTTCAATTTAATGCCGTCACGATATCTCAGGCACGATCTTCCAATACCAATTTCGTGTTATCGGACTTTTCGTGTGACGTGCCTGTCCCGTGCAGCTTCTACCGCGTCGCGAGCCCGGGACACCCGCGGCCGCGCCTCGCGTCAGAGTCGCGCGACCAGAAAAGCCTCTCGCACGCTCATGAATATTCTTCGACGATAACTATATCGACGTTTCTGTTGATTTCCAGTACCACCGCATGTGATCGCGATCATCGACGAGAACGGGAACGATAGGGTCTCGACGGTCGGGCCGTATTTGGAGGACGACACTCTACGACTCTCCTGTGACGTCCATGGCGGTGAGTATCGTAAAAACTAAGTGTGCATAGTGTATAGCGGCAACGCTTTTCTCAATCTCGAAAAGCTGCATGAGTTTTTGTATCCCATAATACGAGTTTCGTTTGTGTTCTGTGATCGATATTGAGAGCGTATTGTCGACACGAGAATGATTCAGAGTCTTTGTTTCCTAAACAATGTTCTATTTCTGTAAAAGACTAAGTTTTTATTTCAACGCGCTATATATAATAACGTTTTAATAATTATTACTATTACCTTTGACCTTACCTTTAATCATACTGGGGCGTCAATTATGTATACATGTTAATTGATTTACGAGACTTGAAATATCTATATACGTACATTATGAGTATAATACATATTAATCACATGCATTAACATCTATTAATTTCTTATGTAAATGATAACCATTAATTACATTGTAAATTATATCATATGAAGTAAATATTTGCGTACAGTGCAAAACATTGTTATTTGAATAAATAATCGGCGTGTTTATATTGCATATGACGTTGAACACGATGTCCATAGCGATGAGTATTATGAAAATAATTTCATAGGGTTGTTATAAAGTCTTTATGCACTTTATAATGTTAATAATTTCTGTTTTGCAGATTTCTAAAAAATATGTAAACAGTTTCATAATCCCGAAATTATATATAAAATGGTAAAATATAAATAAATTATCTTTTTGAGACATATATTATGGATAATACCTATCTTCTCTAAGCAAAAGTTATCAATATTTTAAAATGCAAAACAATTTTATATGTTATACATTAATCAATCGATGAACACTGCAATAATTTCATAATATTAAATGTTTGCATTAATCTTTGTTAATTTATTCTATACTTATTATATGATAAGTATACTTTCTTATTAATTATATTGTAATAAGTAATTATTTGGACGTATCACACAATAATGCAAATGGTTAAGAATATAATTCGCGAATATTGTGATCGCAGATAATGCAGCTGATTGTTAAACAGCACTATTTGTACTCTTCTTTAATGAAAAATTAATTTCATATTTCATGTTAACTCTTTATAATAACACTAGTTTGCAAGGTTTTGTACAAAAGCATTTGAACATTGTTTCTAGAATAATATTAAACGCTGAGCACGAATTTGCCATCAAAAAATTTCTATCACGTCAAGTTTTCGAGAAAAATGGGAATGAATCAAGTAGAACGATTGTCCCATGCAATCCGATTGCAAAACTGTTGCAAATAATAAAAATTTTAATCATAGATTCAATATACGAGATTAAAAGTGCTTAATCGCACTAAAAACATTTTTTTTTCACTTGTTAAAAAATTACAATTTTTTATTTTTAACTGTGAATAAATAATTTTACTCAGTTTAAATCTCGTATATTAAATCCATGATTAAAATTTTTACTGTTTGCAACGGTTTTTCATTCGAACTACACCTAAAAACAAAGCGCGCTTGAGATTTGATGGTACCTGCGGTAAAAGATTTGATATTTTTATATTAAAGTACAATGTTTAAGCTTTTATTTGAGCCCTGCCTGAAGTCTTTTGCATCGGGTTTGTCTGCTACGAATTTTCAAAAATGGTAAAAAACGCATTTTTTTTTTTTGAGGTTTTAATCCTACTTTTCTCGAAAACCTGATATGATAAGCCATTTTGCCTTGCGGATTTGGATTTAGCGACTCAAAATACGTTAAAAAAAGTTGTTTTCATTTGCTACACTAAAAACAGTGTGAAATTTGTAATTATATGCCATAATTATTACATTTTATTATTTCGTGCTTTTGAACAAGAATTGCGAGTGACTCCGATACTTGTACCATTAAATCCACAGCGGTATCTCGCAATAGTTGTGAGTTTATCGAGCGAATAGAGATACCGATAAATTCTGTTAAAACTCGAGCATCTCTATACGCGCGCATCCGCACTGAAAAGACCTCCGCGAAGCGTCGCGTTTCGTCGATACCGGGTGCGATAATTTTTCCGCCTAGCTGACACGCAGCGAGCTGAAACGAAATTGATGTATTTCCGTAGGTAAGCCGGCCCCGACGGTGTCCTGGTATCGCAACGACAAATTCGTCACCAACCGGATTACGATATTGCGCAACGGCGTGACACGCAGCGAGATCGTTATACAAAATTTGAGCCGGGACGACGTCCACACGGTGCTGACTTGCAACGCCACGAATAACAATAGGTCGATCCCGCTGTCGTCGTCGGTCCGCGTGGACATGAATTGTAAGTATCCATATATCTCTTCTGCCATAAAAATTCGCCCTCTCGACTCGCTCGTCCGCGGCCGTCGATGAATACGCGCCGCGGGACACGTTTTATATATATCGACGTTTTTAATTTCCGCGAAATATGATAACTGTGATGCGCAATCACCTAAGCAATACGATAATAATGACGTTAAATCGTATGATAAAAATGTAATGAACAGTTAAATCGTATGATTAAAATGAAAATTCTCTGCAGAATATTCATGAATATATCACCTGGTGGATTTCTCATCAGGATATATGAAGGATCTACGCGGCGTAATATAATGAGCCAACGTTCATGGCACAATTTCCAAATGCTTTCTATTGGCACTAATCGTCTTATATCTGACAATGACAAAGATATGTGAACTTAGATAGCTGAATTCTCTTGCGATCCGGTAATAGGATAGAAACTGAGCGTGTGCTTGAGGGACATGTAATCCGGGACGCTCTGGGTGATATTGCATTTGCCTTTCACTTCCTACGAAAGAGGATTCGTCGAACATCTCGACTGTATTATATCCATCGTGCTATTGACAAACCGTTCGAATCATCGGTGAGATGTTTATCGGGATAATAGAAAATCCGATGGCCATTTTTCTAGATCCATTTGTGCGAGCCGACGATGAGTGAACTTTCAAAAGGAAGGAAAGAGGAAGGGAGAGGGCTGAACGCGAGAACTCGTCGATATAGAGGGATGAGATATTCGACCGCTCTTGGCCAGAGTTCGTCGGCCCGCGTTGAGAGGATATGGATCCGTCCGAGCTTTAATACGTATTCGAATCATAAAATAGTGATTTCTCATTCTCTCGCGCTCTGTCCGTTCTTTAGAAGATTATATTCGATTCAAGAATCTATTCGGTAACACAATGCTCGCGCGCCTTGCATTATACGTCGAATGTTCATATTCTCGTATTCTTGATTTGTAAAATTTAATTTCTTATTATTTATTCACGCGATGCAATTCGTTGAAAGCTTATGCGCATAGCATTTAAATTGTGCAACGTTGTAATGTAAAGCACTACCGAATATTGATAAAAGATTCATTCGATTTTATATTCTATCTCCCTTTTATTATTTGTACAGAGCAATACCAAATTTTGGCCGTAAGGCGACCATTGTCGAATTATATATCAACTTAGAATGCTCTATATACTTAGCGGATGAAAGTCAATAGGGTGCAGTAGAAAATAAATGGTGATGTGCTCTTCTTTGGACCACGGGATACGCCGTAATAACGTTTACAACATGGATACCTAAGGCATACAGAGCAATGTCAAACATCCAGATCAATACCATTGGTGTATTGATATAGATGTTTGACATCCATACCAATGTCAAATATCCACGCTAATACAGGATAACTCCAGTACACGGGGATCTAGAACAATCAGCATTTCCCGCTGTTTGCACAAGTAAGAGAAAGAAAATCTATATGTTAAAAAAGATATATTTCTCTCTCCCCTTCTTCCTGTGATTAATTTGCTCTTTATCCATGACAATATCTTTGTCCGATAACGTAAAAAATAAAAATAAAATAAAAAAATAAAAAGGTTTTCGATTAATAATTTAGCTTTTAAAATTGCACTTATTTTAACGAAAAAAGTATACTCGGCGAGAGCCAACAAATATCGACATTCCTTCGAGCCGCGTTGTCGACTCTATAAGTCTTATGGCTAGAATGTCGGCACGTAGTAAATACAGAACGCGATGTATTGGTGATGGAGATGAGATGATCGCGTGTTTCTCGCCGCAGCATGGAATCAGGATGGACGGCGCAATTTACGGGCGTTACGGTCCAGAGGACGCACTCCAGTCTCCTCCCTAGAGGAACCTTTGCATTCTTTACGAGATCGGAGGTTCGCCCGTAGCAGCGATGCGTGAATGGCGCGCTAAAGAAAAAAAAAAGAAGAGAAAGGAAAGAGAGAGAGAGAGAGAGAGAGAGAGGGAGTGAGAGTGAGAATGCTGGGGACAAGGGTGCGAATCCGCCGTTAAAGTGTGAATAACGTCCGGGCGAACGTAGTGCGTCTTCTCGGCGTGGAATTCGATTATCCCGGACGTGATTTAAAATATTCCCGATAGCAGCGGCAGCGATGCTAGCGGCAAATTCCGACTGCGTTATTTCCTTTTTCTGCGGGGGCAGAGATAAAGGCGAACGTCACGTACGGCTCTACTTTCGTCGACTCTTCGCGAGCCACCGCGTTGAAGAAGGTAGATTATCGCGAAATCTCTTCTCGTCCTATCGCGTTTTACGGGGGGAGGAGAGACGCCGAAATGGTTCTTCCCCAGGATACGGAATGACAGAATCGTCGTATAACGAGAATGAGATAACTTTGAAATCCTCTAAAATGCGTTTTCCTGTAAACGCTTTACCATTCGAATCGACCATTTTGAAAACAAACATACGACCGGAAATTGAAACCCTCTGAGTAATGTAACAATTTTGTATACTATTTTCGAAATATTAATATGTACAAACAAAATAATATCTAAATAATATCACATTATATTAATTGTATGAAATTGTGTTTGTTTATATAAATGTACGCTTATACCACATGTATCAAGTTTCAATTTCCAAAATTTATGGTCATTATTGCTTTCAAACTGATTCTCCTAAATAAATTTAGGAATTGATTGATGCCATCCAATAATATGATCTAAAAACAACTCTAAGAAAATAAAAATACTATGAATGTGAACATCTCATTTTCTATATTTTTTATATAATAAGATATCTAGATACGTAATTATATGCATAAAGAAAAACACAAAAAATATAAGCTAATTATTGTACTGTACAATTATAATTATTATATGTATGATGAAGAGAATGTTTTCAAAAAAGACCATGAAGTATGACAATCAAAAATATTAGAAATGAATAAATATATCGTTTACAGGGAAACATAGTTTGCATGAAATATATTTTAATCATAAAATCAATGAAGAAGCAAACACACCAAACATTTGTGAAATTCTTCCTATATTGACGGTGGCGTACAGTAAAAACATCCAAGAAAATCTTCATTAAAAAACACACAGAGAAAAGTTCGGTCACGATTTAAAAGTAATGGACGGAACATAATGGAAACATGCTCTACTGGCTCCAACTCGAACTGGCTTTAATTCGAATGTAATAAGAGAAACTTTTATTCGCTTTCGGACGTAATTAAATGTGCACATACGCGATTGTTTTGCTGGCTAATTGATTTTCTCGCAAACTTTCGAGAGAAGAAAATTTCGTATACGTTTGCCATACGCGTACAAATAAGATTCTAAAAATTCTTTATAAATTTATACGATTTTTAAAAATTTTTAACCGACAAAAGTAACACTTGCGCGATATTTTCGAGACGCGTTATGATATTAGTCGCATAAATAATTACAACATATTACAATTACAATATTACAATTTTCTTGTTAATAGCACAGTATAAATTACATTTGAAAAAATTATTAAAATGGAAAGTGGAATTTAATGAAAAAGTAGAGTGATAATTGGTCATTGATATATTTATTTAATGCGCGAAAGTATAAATTAGGATAAAAAAGCGACAAAATATAGATATGCAAAAAAATATATTTTGCAATTTTATTTTGATGAAACGAAAAAGAAGTACTGTAATATTTTTCTAGATCGATTCATGATTACTTTCAACAAAGGTTGCAGGCGACATCGCGGTGTGAAAGTCATTCGGAATGAAATCGGTTAAACACGCGACGCTACGTAATAGCACATTATTGGAGATAACGTGAAATTATCGGACGATTTTACATTGGGCGAGAAAGACAAGAGGATTAGATCCCATTAGCATACGCGAATTGGATTGGAGCAATGCCGTTGTTCTCAGTTAAATCGATTTTTATCAGGTATTGTTACGCGACGACTGCCCGAGAACGATTTGAGAGCGAGGATAATACGGAACGGGGAACGTTTGTCGCAATTCCAAACTGATTTGAATTCCTCCCTTTTTTTCTTTTAAACGATCTATTTAACAGAAAACGTAACGTTCATCGCAAAAAATGTAGAAAAGGCTTATTACGTGCTTAAAAATAAAAAGTATATTATATAAGTAGTGAGCTCGGAATCGGCCCTTGAGAGACAAAAGGAGAAACGCAAATCTAAGAACTTTTCTCGTTTTAAATAATTTTGTATTTATACTCTTTCGCTTTTCAGATATTTCTAAAAGAATAATTTGATGAAGACGGAACATGCACAAAAGATTTTATTGTTAATTATGTATGGTTATATTGATTTTTTTAATTGGCATATTTCCTTTCATTAATAGAAAGTTTTCAATTAATTTAGAGAGTACATTTTTCCTCGAAAATGTCAATATTTTATATATATTAATTTATATATATTAATACATGTCACATCTCTCTCTCTCTCTCTCTCTCTCTCTCTCTCTCTCGTAATGATCCAAAATGATCGAATATTAGATACGATGCGTTCTCTGGGACGGTTAAGGGAAGCTGGGGTGACAGCAGAGGAGAGAGAGAATGTTCTCTTCAGCCCGGATACCACGTGCTGGTCGCTCGCAACGGTCCTTTGACGATGGCAACTTTTGCGCTCGATATGCGGCGCTCGGTAATGCGGATTTCCCGTGTAATATATCTCCCTTTCACGTAAAAGCGCGCAGCCCCTTTCAATATGCCGAGAGCGGCGTGGAGCGTTAGTGTGCGGATCATCTTTTTCGGTTGATCTTGGCAAGTGTTCGCACGCGCCATATGTAACGGCGAGCGCCACGTTATTCATTTCGCTGACAGAATACAGAAGTCATTTGTCGACTCGCTAGCGCGCTGACTTGACAATACCTATTAGACGCATCCCGTGAATACCGAGCTGTCTATCTTTCTCTCTTCTCTCTCTTTCTTTATCTCTCTCTCTCTCTCTCTTTCTCTTTTGTACGGGCTATTACCCTAGCCACTCAGACGTCAGAAGAGCCCGACAAATATCCTTGCAAGACA